AACTGCATAGCCTAGAAATCTCAAAAAATTTAAGAAAAAGGTGTGTCATGAATGCATAAAATATATGTGATGCTAGCCTATCCTTACATAAGTATAAGGTGAGTGATATTTAATATAAAATTAATAATGCGGTAGTAACACATTACTTATAATTATTACATTGTTTTACAACTTTGCTTTCAAAGAATTACATTACCATACAGTATGCCTGTCTCTCTCTCTCAACTGGAGAAACTGTGTTATCATCCTAATATCACTAGTAAGTGGTCTTTAAAAAAAATGCAACAAAGTTTCCAATACTGTACTATGAATATGACTCTAATACTGTATGCCATAAAATTTTTATAATGATGCATTGGTTAGTGTAAGGCGAGGCTCCTGTGAAGCGTTATATCGATTCCCTAGACTACCATAAAGCAATCAGATTGCTGCTTTTTGTTATCAATGCATGAATCGTTACACTTGTAGATAAATGTGAGTTTCTTTTTCACATTATCTTTTCATTTTTGATGTCTAGTGTTAGTAATACATAAAACATCTACAGTGTTTTGTATCATATAATATTGATAATGGATAATATTGATGATGAATATTTACATCATCTTGTAAACAGATAACGTAAATTACGGTGTCAGTAAATATAGTACAGCACTATAAATGTATTTTCTCTTCCTTATGATTTTCTTAATACCATTTTCTTTTCTCTAGCTTACTCTATTGTAAGAATACAGTATATAGTACATATAACACACAAAATATGTGTTAATGGACTGTTTATGTTATTGGTAGGGCTTCTGGCCAACAGCAGGCTATTAGTTAAGTTTTGGGGGAGTCAAAGGTTATGCGTGGATCTTCAACTGCATGGGGGTTGGCGCTTCTAACCTCCATGTTTTTCAAGGGTTAGTTGTAATATATACATATTACATACAGGAATATAAATTATATACAGAGATACATAATTCTATAATATATTGTATAATTAGTATAATGATAATTATAATAAATTAACAATAATTAAAGTCCTGGTGGTTTATATTTTAAAGCAGATTTCTTACTGGGAAAGAAATGGCTTGGTCTCCTAATAAAGGAATATATGTATTATGTACAGATGCATAATTATATAGTGTATTATCTAATTGTTATGATAATAATTAAGGTCCTAGTGGTCCACACTTTAAAACCGATTTCCCACTGTGAAGGGAATGGCTTGGTTTCCCATCAGGGGAATTTCAGGCAAGTAGAGTTTGCAGGGTGGGGTGAGGGATTTGTCTCCCTTTGCTTCCTGTAAGTACATCTCATAGATCCCAAGTAATTGTGAGCAAAGCTGAGCCCATCGGAGGATGCTGCGAGCTCTCGGCACGAATCCAGGCTGTTAATGTTGTCGCAGAGCCTGACTGAACCAGGGTAGGTGAAAATGAACTCGCGACGGCGTCTGTTCTAATTTTATCCCCCTCCCCCCACCAACCCTGAACACGTGTGCAATGCAGCACAGTTTAGAAATGAATGGAATTGTGGCTTCTATTTATTGAAAGCCAAGAGATGAGCAACGTCCCCTGTGCTAAGGACACAGAGCTGGAGAGATTTAGAGGATGGTTGGCTCTACCAGCTTCCCTGTCAACTAAGCTTCATTGAGACTCATCTTCCACCTAAAAATTGATGGTCCTTGCTCATCAAACCTAAAGCGCCGATTATACAAAAATTGGCCAAGGCAACACTGTTTTATAAATTTATTTATTTAATTATTTTATTTTATTTTATTATTTTTTTTGGCTGTGTCGGGTCTTCGTTGTGGTGCGCGGGCTTCTCATTGTGGTGGCTTCTCTTGTGGAGCATGGGCTCTAGGTGCGTGGGCTTTTGTAGTTGTGGCTTGTGGGCTCTAGAGCACAGGCTCAGTAGTTGTGGCGCACGGGCTTAGTTGCTCCGTGACATGTGGGATCCTCCCAGACCAGGGCTTGAACCTGTGTCCCCTGCACTGGCAGGCAGGCTCTTAACCACTGCATCACCAGGGAAGTCCCAACAACACTGTTTTAAATATTTTAAATCTGTAGGACACTATATAAATTATTGGAGGTCAATAATCTTCAAGTTCTAATTGGACAAGATTAAGTAATCCACCCAGCAGACCAATTTATTCTACCACTTAGGGAAACAATGACCAATTAAAAAATGGCTAAATTCTTCATTCCATCCTTTCCTGCACCCACTTCCTGTCCATTGTGGCTTTGCAGCTCTTTTGTCTAAGAGTTGGAGTCTATTCCCTCACCCCTTGAATCTGGCCTGGCCTTGTGACATGGTTTGGCCAATAGAAAGCCATGGAAGAGATGGTGTACCAGGACTGGGCTGAGGCCTCAAGAAGTGATGCAGGCTTCCACTCTCTATTTCTTGGAACCCTTCCAGATGCCAGGGTAAGCAAACTTGGGCTGTCTTGCTGGAGAGTGAGAGGAGCCATCCTCCATCAGCCAGCCTCCAGCCAAGCCAGGAGCTGACCAGGTAACTGCAGATATGTGAGTGAGCATGGTCTAGACCAGATGAGCTGCCCAACTCAGCCCAGGCTAATCATTACTGACTTGAAACATCCTGAATTTAATAAATGGTTGCTTTTTAAAGTTACTAAGTTTTGAGGTGGTTTGTTACACAGCAGTACAGACTGATACAAACATTTTGCAGAAAACTCATTGCTTTTGTTAATAGTCAAAGACTGTTTCTAAGTATGTGCTTTTGCCAATGTGCATACAAGTTGGGAAGGATAGATATTGAAAGAGAAGTCAGAAACTTGGGTTCTGCCAGCTCTTATAAGTTTTGAAATAGCCCAGGAGTTTCTAGAAAGGTCATGACAAATATTTAGAAATTTGTCCTCTGGATCCACCACCTCCTCTCCCCCTAGTTTCGGTATATTCCATATATTCAGTTATAATAAGGATGTAATGAAACAAACAGGCATTCTCATGCTGATGGGAATGTGAATAGACATGATCATTTTTATTCATTACATAAATATTTATTAAAAGTACCCTGTAATAGGAGGTGGGGATACAGGATATATACAACTCTGTCTTCAAGCAGCCCACAAATTTTTAGAAATAACAGAGAAAACCTTGATTGTGAAACTGGCTTATATATAAAAATGAAATATTGGAAAGGAATTTGGCAATATGTATCAAAGGCTTTAAATTATTTTTACTCTTTGGTACAGTGATTTCTCTTCTGAAAATACATCATAAAGAAATTATCCAAAATGAAAAAAGTTCTTTTTCACAAAATGTTCTTCTCTCTATATAAGTATAGGTGAAATGTATTAATTACCAGCAGCAAATTAGTTATGATATATCCACTGGCGAGAGCATTACACAACTATGAAACTTATGTTCATGAAGAGTATGTTATAAATTATGTTTATAATAAATGTTTATAATTATAAATATATAATATATATTATGTATATAATAATTATGATGTACTAAATAAAATACAGGATACAAAAATATATATGCAATAGTATTAAGCTTAAATAACAAAGTAAAAATTAGAATAAAATACTCAGTGTTTATGGTGTTTTGGAAAGACAATGGGAAAAAGAAAGGAAATTAGAATTTTTTTGATGATGGGTTATGTATTAAATACATATCTATTATGTCCCTTAAATACATTAAAAAAATTCGATTGTCACAATGACTCTTCAAGGTAATTACTATCATGACCATTTTACAGATAAGGAAACTGCAGTTCGGAGAAGTTGAATAACTTCTCCAGGCTTGTTGAGCTGGTATCGGGTGTAAAGTGTAAAATCCCTTTATTAAAGGGATTGTAGGTGTTTTTTTTCTTGTTTCTCCTTATTATAACTTCCTAATTCTTCTTTGATAAATTTTATATCTTTAAAATTTATGATTCACGTGGTTGCCCCTGTCACTGAGTCCTATAAGCAGAGTATGTACCTTCCTACTTGGGGACTTCCAGACACTTCAGGAGGGCACTCCGACTCTCCTGAAATACTGCTTCCCCAGCTGAGGATGCTTGAAATTCCTTTAACCAGGGACACATCATCCATTTCACAATTAGAAAGAGAATCTTAGCATTCCTCAAGCCCAGCCCAAGTCAGAACACAAACAGTATTAGTTCAGGTCATTTTTATAAGCAGGCATGGAATTCCTAACGGACCCTCGATTTCTCTGCGTCAGGCTCGACATGCCTGGTTCTCTTAGGAGTTCTCCTTGGTAGGGTTCAAGTTTTATCACTCCTAGGCATTCTACCTGGGGCTGTCCCAGTCTTCCCCTGAGTCTCTCCAAAATGATGCTCTAAACTGAATGCAGAATGCGGTAAAGTACAAATAACCCAGGATGAAGAACCATGTGTTGCACCCAAGACTGTGCTGCCTGTCCCAGTCCGTGCTACGTGGCATCCTTCCCTTCACATTCCCTTGCACACACATTCATAGTAACAATAGTGGATGTTGATCGAGAGCTTTCTATGTTCCAGGTACCACGACAAGAATTTTATGTGCATTATCTCATGTGTCCTAAATTTAAAATTCCTCCTGGTGTGCTCATCTTCCCTGCTAGTCTGTGAGCCCTGGGGAGCAGCAAGCATGTCTTGCTCATCACTGTTTGCCTGGTGCTTGGCATGAGGCAGGTGTGCGTTAAATGCTAGATGAACGGAAATGAACTAATACCAAGCTGGACTTGAAACTGGGCAGCCCTGCATCCAAACCCAGCTCCACCACTTGCCGGCTTGACCCCTTCAGACACCTGACCTCTCTGAGCCTCGTGGAAAGAAGAGATAATGAAATCTAACCTGCAGAGTTGTCATGCCAGTTACAGAAGTTTATGTGTAAAATTGTGAACATGTCTCTTGTGGAGACATGGTTTTTGGTGTAAAGTAGAAGTGAAAATGCAAGGGTGTTTGTGCCATTAAGTAGAAGGTGGCAGAGAGAGGGACACTGCAGAAAAGCTGGGGAAAGCAGGGTGAGGAGGCAGGTCTCAACGCACTTTTCCATTCTCCTTCAGCTGGTCCTGCTACCAGGTGTCCTGGAAACCCAGAGCGTTGATGGGGAGGCCAGGGAAGCACAACAAGATGTTGCCCACAACCATCCTGAGGTCTGATCTGGATGAGCATTGCCTCTCTACCACCTGCCATCACATGCATGGAGATCACAGACTTACCATGTAAGAGCCAGACTTCAACGCAGAGGACAAGGAAGAAATGAAAGGCTTGCTTCTCTTCTGTAACTGGAAAGTTCCTGCTAAGTCTTCCGTTCCACAGTAACCAACTCAAGGGCAATGGCTGTGTTTTGGTTTCTCTGTTGTACATTGGGCAGCCACCACGGTGCCTGGCATATAGTAGGTGCTCAGTTAATGCATGTGGCATGCAGGCTGTGTGGCCCAAACCGATTCATTGGGATGGATGGTGTAATTCCAACTCAACACATTTACTGAATACGAGTAGTTAATATAATGATCAGTATAACACCATTCTTCCTCAGATATCAAGGAAAGAGGGAGAAAGAACAAACACCTATTAAAAGTTTGCTATCTGTCAGGCAGTTTGCTAGATGTTTATATTGATTATTTCATTTCTATACCAATATCATCAGGTCAGTACCATTATCTTATTTTTACAGTTGAGGAAACTAATGCTTTGAAAGAGTAATCAATTCGACCAAGTTTTAATAGAGTTATCTGGTTCCGCTGTCCACACCCATGTAACTCGTGCCTGTTTCAACTCTCCTAAACTTGCCCACTCTCTCCCTCACACCATTTCAACTCAGACTCAGCTCTGTTCTCCTTATCAACCCCAAAATTAGAGGGCCCAGCCCACCTTTCACCTGAGGCTGCCCAAGCATTAACACAAGCATTAACTCCCAGAACCTATTGATTGATTTCAGTTACGTAAATGTCTGTGTAATAATGATGGTGACCTTTAACTGATTTCCTAATATATATCAAGAACTTCACACACATGCATCTTGAAACCCCCGTAAGCCTTATTAGGAGGGAATTATTCTTACCACTTAACAGATGAGGACATTGAAGCTCAAAAAGATTAGGAGCCTTGACCAAGATACCTCAGCTTCAAGCTGGAGCAAATTCCAATACCTGAGCTTCCCTGCCTGTCCCCACTGTGCTGAACTCTGCTGGGGTAAAAAGGTGAGCTCCAGGATAGTTCCTGTATCTGTGGGTCTCATTCTCGTGCTGGGATGCTAGCTGAAGCCCCTGCCTCCTGGCATTTCCTCTCCTGCCTTTTACCTTTGCGGGGACTCTGGGATGCTTGGGGAGCTTCTCACCTCTAATCCCCAAACCTTCCATCCTCCAGGCTCCCTTTCTCCTAAATCCTGGCCCTGTCACTTATTCACCGTGTGGCCCTGGGATAAGTCACTTCACGTTTGTCAGGCTCAGTCTCTTCATCCGTAATTGGGGGCATTGATATCCCCCTGACAGGTAGGGGGGTGGTACAGGTTAAATTTTTCAAAGATGGCGACACCACTACGTATCCAATCCCATACGCTCTTCCTACAATGTGGATTTGATGTTCCTCCGCTGAGAGGTGGGGTCTACGTTTCCTCCCCTTGAACTTAGCCAGACCTTTGGGACTGCCTTGACCAACAGACTGTCGACTGAAAAAAAATGCACAACCTAAAAGTTGAGAATTATGTTTTATTTGGCAGACTTTCCGAGGACTTAAGCCCGGGAGGCAGCCTCTCAGATAGCTCTAAGGGACTGTCCCCAAGGGGTAAAGGGGGGAGCCAGGATATATAGGAGTATTGCAACAAAAACCAGGTAGCTGGAACATCAAAAGATTACTGTTAATTAAAAAAACCCAGAAATCTCAAGTTAATGAATTTAGCGCTTTTCTATGTATGGGAAGATGCAAGAGTCTGGACTCATTGAAATCGTTCCTTTGATGTGCACCTCAGCTCTCTAGGGTCAGTATCCCATTCTTTCCCATCCCGAGTCCCCTCTGGGTGCGCCGCTGGGGGTGGCTGCATGGCTGATGCTTGGCAGTGGGCAGCCCTTTTGTTTGCATTCTGAGTTTCCCCCGTTCACTGTCAATGGTGCCTACGGTGGCTGATGGCCTGATGGCTGCAGCATCCTTTGTTTGCTGACAGGGCAGGCAACGTTTTTCACTCATAAGATTGTGGCAGAACTGCCTCCGCATGGCGCCTGAGGCTGGGTCCTAAAAGGCAATATAAGCTTCTGCCTGGCACAATCTCTTGGGACATGCACCTTGGGAGCCCATGACCTGGAGTTGGGGAGCCGTGTGTTAGGGCAGGTAGACCACACAGAGAGGGCAATGTGTGAGGACCCCCAGCTATTCCATTCCCGGCTGTTCCAGCACTAACTGATACAGAGCACGTGAAGAGTTGAGCACTGTTTCGGGGAAGGTCCCCGTGGTAAGTCAGGGTCGAACCACCGCAGGACCACGAGACTCTGGTTGTGGCTTTTAGAAATCAGCGTCAGAGTTGTTTGAGTTACTCAGCTCCTCTGGAGGTAGGTTTTAACCAATTTCAATTCCTATAAGCCCACAGGAATGTAGAACTCCATTCAAAACACACTATAAACTGACTCATTTTCACGAGACTATTAAAAAAAAGTTGAACATATGCTTCGTTTTCTTAGGGCTTCCAAAAACAATAGGCAAGTCTTTCAAATGGAGCCATGTGTGTGCAGAAGATCTGCCTGGAATCCAAATCCTTCCATAATTTAGTTAGCCTAAGGAAAATTCTTTACTTTCATTGAACCTGGAGGCGAAGAAAATTGCTGGTCTAGAGAAACAGCCTTTGGTCACAAGGTTGGAAAAGTAGTATCAGGCAGACATGATTGAGTAAATTAGGGCAGTGTTTCCCCTCCTCAATAACTTGCCCATCTTCTTTTCTAGGTCTTGATTGTATAAAAAGTACAAGTGACTTCAGATCTGATGAATCCTGAGTGGCGTGGAGGGACAAGGGAATATTGTATCTGAAGAAGCCGGATGATTGGTTGTGTTCAGATTGTAAAGGAATTGCCAGAACTGGAGGAGCCTTTAGGGACCTTACAGTTGAAGCCCTTTGTTTCTGTGAGTGAGAGGTTGGTAGCCCAGTGAACGAATGTGATTTACAGAGCTGGTTATAGGGCTGGGAGGGGAACTAGGGATGCCTGAGTCTTTTCTGAGTCACCTGGCAGCCTACTAGCTGCTGTTGCTCTTTTAAACCTTCCCCTTAAATGTGTTTAAGTCCCCAGGGAAAGCTGTGAGCTGGGAACAATTAGAGGGAGGACTGAGGTAAAGAGAGACATGGCGGACAGTGGGGTAGAGAGAAGAGCTGAACGTTGTTTCCTAAAATTCAAGGTCCTTCTGCTGCCTGAAGGGGTTCAGTTGGGAAGGCTGGGTTTCCAATACGGGAGGTGGGGTGGAGTGTGTGTGCTGGGGCGGAGGGGAGACAGGATGGTCCAGTACAAATATGATCAGCGTTCAGTCTGAGAGCTGGAAGATGCGCTGTTGTTTGCCAGCCGCGGGAAGGGAACGGGGGAAACTTTGGGCACAGATGTTGCTCAGAGACCCAAAGAAAGTCAGTGAGGGAGTGTGGGGAGATCTGAGGGAAGATCGTTTGGGGCAGAGGGAACAGCAAGAATGAGGCTGGAACAGACGTGAATGTTTGTGGGGGGTGTGGACGCCACTGTAGGGGAGCTGAATGAGCAAAGTGACATCCCAGGGGATGAGGTTGGAGAGAGACACAGGGTCAGGCTCTGTGGCACATGGTGTAGACCCTGGAAGAGTTTGGAACTGGCTGTGAGTCTAGCAGGGGAGTTGTAAGGTGGAGGGCTCCTTTAGGGCAGGGACTGTGTCTTGTTACATTCTCCCACAGCTGAGGTTATGGCATATTCCAAAAAGGAAGATGCAGCCCTGACACCTCTGATAGAAGAAGTTAGATAGAGAAGAAAGATGGGCAAGGATGATGGGACCACGTCAAGCTGCTCTCTGGTCCTTAGACCAGTGTTTCAGTTCCTGACCTCATTGGCCCCTCACTTCACTCCTGTGACTAAGCAGTGAAGAAATTACTGCCTCTCTTCTAAGACAGGACGCTGAGGCGAAGGGAGATTGACTTGCTTCCCCAAGGTCACGGCTGATTATGGCAGAGCTCGGATGGGAGCCCCAGGCCTCCTGACCCCCAGTCCAGGGCTCTTCTGAAACCCCCGGAGTCCTCGACAGGGAAGCCCTCTTCAGCCGTCCTAAGTGTTTTTCTTGCGGTACGCGGGCCTCTCACTGCTGTGGCCTCTCCCGTTGCGGAGCGCAGGCTCCGGACGCGCAGGCTCAGCGGCCATGGCTCACGGGCCCAGCTGCTCCGCGGCATGTGGGAGCTTCCCAGACCGGGGCACGAACCCGTGTCCCCTGCATCGGCAGGCGGACTCTCAACCACTGTGCCACCAGGGAAGCCCCAGCCGTCCTAACTTTGAACGCTGCCATCACGGACGGGGCTGGGCAGGCGTTCTCCTAGGTGTCCCACCAGAGAAGTCACCACGAACCTGTTCTGAGGAAGCAGAAAGGAATGCTCTCCGGGACCTGGCAGACTAAATAGAGTGTTACCAATGGGGTATCACCCACAAAGAAACCATCTGCTTTCACAGAGCAGCTGAGAAAGGGTTTCACGTCGTGCAGTGCTTATCACCGGTTTGTGCTGAAACCTCAGGGCAGACCACCCACTCCTCAAGCATGGAGACCCCTAGGCGGCAGGCAAGAATCTAGGTTCAAACCTCAGGTGGGCCAGAAACGTAGTTTTCTTTGCTTCTCTACAACGGAATCTGGTTAGGATTTCAAGCCTCTGTTAGGTTCAGGCGTTGGAAACGTCATCTCAGTCCATTTGGGCATCTTGGGTGATGGATCGAGGCTCTGGGAGGGTTGCTGACTTCCAGGGAACCGCTTGGAGGAATCAGTGGAACTCAGCACCGTCATCCCTGCACGTGACGTTCCTGTCTGGCCTTCGGTTCTTGCTCCACCGCTCTCCTCCCTGACTGCGAGTCTCCTTTTGCCCTCTGGCTCTCTGTGAAATGGGAACGGCTACAGCAGAGAGCTGCCCCACCGAGGCTTAGGGGACTCGGTGCTCTGCCTCACGGGCATATGCAGACGTTTCTTCTGCTCCCACACCATCCCAGCTTGGGCTCCCCAGGCGCCACCTGCTCTTGGGTTCTCTAAACTCCTGGGGGCTTAATCACAACCCCCCCCCAAGCTTGGCAGGGGTGGTGGCAGGACCCAAGGTCCCTGCACCCCAGCTCTGTCCTTACCCCAGCCCAGGCGAGCTTCGTGAGGCGTCAGTGAAACCAAAGCATAATCTGTCCTTACCACAAATTCTTCTGATGCTTTTGTTGGGGTTTGGGCTTTAAAACCTGAACACTCAAAATTGCTTCTTTCGTTCTGTCTGCATTCTCCTTGGTCATCTCTTCCCTGAGCCCCTAAACACTGAATGTTTACCTGCTGCTTAAATGCAGGGAAAGAACCACAAGGTACAAGGAAGTTTGGGACCAGAAAACAAAACAAAACAAAATCTTATTAAAATATTAATTATTTTTTAAATAATTATTTTTAAAATAGTAAAAATATTTACCCTTCTACTTCATTATATGCCTAATGTTGGGAGCATCTGTTTGAAGTCAGATCTGGTTAGACTCCTAACTGCAAGGTGCTTGATTTACCCATTAGGACACACATATGAGACTCAGTATCATCTATAACATGGAAGTAGTTATTCCTATTGGATGGATTATTTTGAGGATTATAAAAGATAACACCTATTAAGCTCTTGGTACAGTGCCGGGTCACTTTCATGATTATCCTCATTCTGACTGGGTCTCCAGTTTGTGATTAGTGTTGTGTTCTCTACCTGTGCTATTGGGGAGGTCCCAAGACCACCCCCAGGTCCAGTGATTTGTTAGAAGGCCTCACAGAACTCAAAAAAGTTAGAAGGCCTCACAGAACTCAACCGTATGCTCACGGTTGTGGTTTATTACAGTGAAAGGATACTGGTCAGAATTGGCCAAGAGAAGGAGACTAAGGTCAGCGACATGGGCTGTCAACCACGTCTAGGTGACGAACCCTCAAGCTCCTCAGGGGAGCTCCCCTGGTTCCAAATACTCCGTGAGTGTTGCCACATCATCGCTGGGAAAGTCAGTGCTGTTTGCAGGAGTCCACAGGGAGAGGACACTGAGGTGTCATGCCTGGAGCTCCTCTGGACTCTTTCCCTGTAATAAACCACAACCTCTGCCTTCTTCTTCTTCCCAAGCCAGAAAACAGAACTTCTCTGGCATCTGCTGTCCTTTGCATTCTACTGGCCTCCTGAATATCTGTGAATCTGTACCTGCTTTCCGTCCTCACTGTCAAGGTCACTGTGGGCCACTTGGGCCAGGACAAACACCCACTGACTGGCCTCTCCAGCTCTCCGTCTACCCCAGTCAATCCTCAGGAGTGTTTAGAGGAACCTCTCTGAAGAGCACCAGCTGGGTCTGAAAGGCCCTGGTGATTTCTGTCGCCGGCAGCGTTCAGGCTCTCTTGGCAAATGCAGCTCTGCTTGGCTTTCTGGCCACTTTCCCTGTCAGCTTCTCTCCTGTCTTCTGAACAGGATGTTGTTATTCCAACGCAGTATTCACACCCCTGGGCATTTGCTCTTCCCATCTGGATTATTTTCCTGCCTCTCTTATGCCTCTCCAAGGCCCCTTTCCTGTGACCCGCCGCCTTCCACTCATCAGGACAGGCCAACTTCCCTGGGCTCAACTAAAATGTCCCCTCCCTGGAGAAGCCTTCCTGGTCCTCCCTGGATGCTTCCGCCGTGCTGTGGACAATCCTGCTATTCTTTTTACCTTATCCCATGATGTTTCCAACCCTGTGCCTGGTGCACGGAAGATACTCAGTAAATACTTGTTGGCTTAATTCACAAATGAACAATCTGCAGCATATCTGACTCCATATACTAAAGAGGTATTTTTATGCTGGGCTTTATTACAGGTTGATTCCCAAACATAATGGGATTAGATGTCCTTAAAAAAAGTTTTTTTTAAAATTGAAGTATAGTTGAATTACAATGTTGTGTTAATTACTGCTGTACGGCCAAGTGACTCAGTTATACGTACATATAAGTTCTTTTTCATATTCTTTTCCATTATGGTTTATCACAAGATATTGAATATAATTCCCTGTGCTATACCATAGGACCTTGTTGTTTATCCATTCCATATATACTAATTTACATCTGCTCATCCCAAACTCCCAATCCAACCCTCTCCCACCCCCCTCCCCACTGGCAACCACCAGTCTATTCTCTATGTCTAATGGGACTAGATTTCTGACTCTCATTCCTTTTTATTGGCCACAATTTTAATGTCAAATCTTTTATTTTAATGTTTACATCCCGCACAGTTTCTTCTTTACTCCTACCGTTGCTTCTCCTTTTCTACATAAATCAAGTCGTTTCTTCCCTCCTTCTCGAGAGTGCTGTTCTGGAACTAGCAAGTGGCTCAGTCGCTGTATCATGTAATACCCGGCTATAAAGCACATCAGATACTCCTAGCAGGTTCTGCTTTATGAGAAAATATTTATTATGTTTGAGCTCTGGAAGCTGGTTATCACGTACTAGCTGTGTTTTAATGTTGCATTGTTTTCCCACTGTTGCTTTAAGGGCCGAAAGGAAGCACCAGTGGTCTCCAATACTGCCACCTTGTGGCAAAGTGGGATGATAACCAGGGCTTTAGGGAAAGTGCGTTGTCTGTATTAACTCACGTTTTCCCCTGATGTGTGCACACAGGAAAGGCCATATGAGGACACAGCAAGGAGGTGGTGGTCGCCTGCAAGCCAGGAAGAGAGCTCTCACCAGAAACTGACCATGCTGGCACCCTGACCTTGGACTTAACCAGCCAACAAAACTGTGAGTAATCTATTTCTGTTGTTTGAGGCATCCAGTCTGTGGCATTTTGCTACGGCAGCCCAGGAAGGCTAATAACAGTGGTGTATTCTGATCCTGTCTTATCCTGTGACTCAAAAATATTCAGTGGGTTTAAATAATCTTTATTTATTATTGAAGTTAATATCAAATTTATTTAAAAGTTAATGATATTTAACTCTACTCAATACTCTGTAATGACCTATATGGGAATAGAAGGTAAAAAAGAGTGGATATACGTACATGTATAACGGATTCATTTTGCTGCATAGCAGAAACTAACACAACATTGTAAATCAACTATACTCCAATAAAAATTAATTTTAAAAAGTTAATGGTATTAAACATAATTTAAATAAATTCACAAGTGTCTGCTGGGGGTAGGTATCTTATGGAGACTGGACAAGGGCTTGAATCTGAGTGACATGGGTTGATACAGTGACAGCAAATGCAGATATAGGCACTGACTAGAGGGGCTCAAGAGAGAAAGTTCTGGAAAGGCAGAGAAATAACAAAAAGGGCTCTGGGCCTCCACAGACCTTAGAGAGGGGATTTGAATTCATTTTACATAAATCTCTGAGCACCAAACTACTATCTGGGTTAATAATAACATCTTAAGTTACAGATACCTTCCAAGTTACAGACTGGTTAGACCTTCTCTGAAATTTTCTATCAAGATTCCTGTGTTCAGCTGTGGAAAATCATAGAAGCATCTTCTGGAATGTTGTTTTTATGTGGCTTTTTCCTGTCTGGGCATGATGCAATTTATATAGTACTTAAAAAAAAAGCATATATTTGTATTACTATTATCAAGTGGAACAATAAAAATTACTAATAACTAAGTTAAAGGGAATCCTAGTTTGAGCCTAAGCAGTATCCACTGGGGGGAATTCTGACATGTTTGGGCAGATCAGACTGACAGGGGTGGGAGGGGGTGGGTACTGCCCGAGGAGCTTCCTGGAGGATAAACTCATTCTATTGGAAGCAGAGACGGAATGAAGGAGGAAGACTATTGTGTGCTGATTAAAACTTTAGCCAATTAATAAGCTTATACACACGGCCAATTTGACTTTGAATCATGTGATGTTGAAAGGGCATCATGTAAGGAAATAACAAAGTCGCACCTTACTTGTGGTTTGCCAGACATTTCCAGGCATGTTGTAGTGTTAAGCTTCCTGGCCCCCTTGGGTTTGGATGGAGCCATGGGGTTAGCACCAGCCAATAAGTTGTGAGGACAAGTGGATGCTAGCACTTGGGGCTGAAGCATTAAATTGCAAGCTTGAGACCCCTTTGAGCTTTTTTTGTCTTTGCGGTGACTGTCAAAGTTCCAGATGGTGGCCGTTCCATAATCCTGGGTCCCTGAAGCAGTATGGTGAACACAGACCCACCAAGCCACAACAGTCAAGTGGCAAGAGCAAGAAATAAACGTTTGTGGTTCTGAAATTTTGGGGTTGTTTGTCACTGCAGCACAACCTAACCTCTGAAGTGATAAGATTAGGTCTTCAGGAATCTTCCTCAACTTAAAACGTCCCTGTCCTGCACCTTTATTTTCAAGGCACACCCAACAGGTAATGAAATAATCTGTCTTTAAATAATTCCTCCTTTGCGATTTGTTCATATTCCCTTTGTGATCCTTTTTTGACCTATACATTGTGAGGTGAGGTCAGAAAAAATGTCACACCATCTCTTACATGTGTAAGAAAAGGAGCTTCCTTGTTTCCGCTCATTGATGAAGTCTTCATGAGCCCCTACTGCACAGGATAGAAGGTTGGGAGAGAGAGGAGAGGGTGAGATGGGGTAGAAAGAATTTTATTTGCCGGTAAACTGTATCTAAGTCTCCTCTGATTAAAACAATCTCTTTCACTTCCAAGCTGTGCATTTTGGTAAATGCTCAATTATTCAGTGTTCAACCCCTTCCCTCCCAAAGACGGCGCCCGGTAGGGAACAGGGACTCCTGTGTCTTTGTGGCCATGGGAAAGGAGATCTTGGCTTTGTGGGAAGAGCTTGCCTTTGGTTCTCTCTGAATGTTTTGGAATGGTGTCCAGTCATGTGCACTGGTGACCTTGAGGTACAGGGGTTGAATCTGGGATTTCTGTCTTTCTCTGTCTCTCATGCTGCATGCCCTCTTTCCTGCCCCCAGTGTGGCTGCCCTCCCCCATGGCCCATATGGCTCTGCCACTTTACCTCTTGACTTTGTGAGCTCACCTGGGGCTGGCAGTGCAGTTACCTTCCAACGTCCCTGCCAAGAATGCGGAGGTGCCTGTGTCCATTCCATACTGAGGGTGGGGCCGGGCTGGGGGAAGCTCAGGAATCCCAATTTTGGCTTTTTCTCTGCCTCACTGTGCTGAATCACCAATCTCATCGATGCGGTTGCTCCACATTGCGGGGCTGGCTGGGACACCAGGGGTGTCTGGCAAAGCCTTCAAACTATTGAGTCCTCCATTTTGAAATTCTAGATGTGGAGTCCATTGCATATGTTTCTTTCTTTTTTTTTTTTTTTTTTGTGGTACGCGGGCCTCTCACTGTTGTGGCCTCTCCCGTTGCGGAGCACAGGCTCCGGACGCGCAGGCTCAGCGGCTATGGCTCACGGGCCCAGCCGCTCCGCGGCATGTGGGATCTTCCCGGACCGGGGCACGAACCCGCGTCCCCTGCATCGGCAGGCGGACTCTCAACCACTGCGCCACCAGGGAAGCCCTGTTTCTTTCTTTTTAAAAAATTATTTATTTTTAATTGGAATATAATTGCTTTACGATGTTGTTTCGGCTTCTGCTGTACAGTGAAGTGAATCAGCTGTATGTATACATATATTCCCTCCCTCTTGGACCTCCCTCCCGCCCCCTCCCCCATCCCACCCATCTAGGTCATCACAGAGCACCAAGCCCAGCTTCCTGTGCTTTATAGCAGGTTCCCACTAGCTGTCTGTTTTACACATGGTTGTGTATATATGTCAGTCCTGATCTCCCAATTCGTCCCACCCTCCCCTTCCCCCTGTGTCCACGTGTCCGTTCTCTGCCTCTGCGTCTCTATTCCTGCCCTGGAAGTAGGTTAATCTGTACCATTTTTCTAGATTCCACAGCCACTGTGGAGAACAGTATGAAGGTTCTTTAAAAAACTAGAAATAGAATTGCCATATGACCCAGCAATCCCACCTCTGGGCATACACCCTGAGAAAACCATAACTCAAAAGGACACATGTACCCCAGAGTTCATTACAGCACTATTTACAATAGCCAGGACATGGAAACAACCTGAATGTCCATTGCTTATGTTTCTGATTGCTTGCTCCCCTGCTTCAGTTTCCTTTCTCCACTGGGTCAGAAAGATGACCAACTTCCCCGTCTGTCAGGTGGGACATCCATCATGTCACATCCTGAGTACTCTCTGTGCCTTGCTTAGAAAAAAACCCAGTGTTCACGTCAGCCAGGTCTGGTTCTTGATATGTTCATCGGCGCTTAAGGAATATATACTATGTCTTCATAAAGTATGACTTTTAAAATATTGTCTTGGAAGTTCTATTTTAGTATTCAAAAACTGAATACCAAATGTGCTTTCCCTTTCTTTGCACTTCTGCTGTACGAGTCCTAATCACACACATCCCTCTACTTCCTTGCGAAGGCAGATGGATGCCTTTGCATGATGAGAGAGAAGGTCATATACATTAAGGTTAAAAATACCGAGAATTCCCTGGCGGTCCAGTGGTTAGGACTCCGTGCTTCCACTGCAAGGGGCATGGGTATGATCCCTGCTCGGGGAACTAAGATCCCACGTACTGCACGGTATGGCCAAAAAAAAAAAAAGGAAAGTAAAAAGAACAATATAAAAAAAAAGATTAAAAATGCTTCTGCCATTATTGTAATGTTTTTAAGGAAAAGGATCATATTTCACTTCTCTCTACACATTCTCATGGTGCACACAAGGGGTGACCAGCTTGTCCCAGTTAGTTGGGACTTTTACCACAAAAAGTCCCATGTCCAGGGAACCTCTCAGTCCTTTGCAGACCAGGCAAACTGAGGGTCACCCCTATGTACACAATCCATTATTTATTGCTGAAGGTAAGATGGTGATTTTCTTGGTATGAAATGATTATCCCCATAGTAATCATTAGCCTCAGAAGTAAATGATAACATGTCGGAATTTCCACACATTTTTCTTTTTAACATCTTTTTTTTTTGCGGTACGCGGGCCTCTCACTGTTGTGGCCTCTCCCGTTGCGGAGCACAGGCTCCGGACGCACAGGCTCAGCGGCCATGGCTCAGGGGCCCAGCCGCTCCGCGGCATGTGGGATCCTCCCAGACCGGGGCACGAACCCGCGTCCCCTGCATCGGCAGGCGGACTCCCAACCACTGCGCCACCAGGGAAGCCCTTAACATCTTTATTGGAGTATAACTGCTTTACAATGGTGCGTTAGTTTCTGCTGTATAGCAGAGTGAATCAGCTATACGTATACACATATCCCCATATCTCCTCCCTCTTGCGTCTCCCTCCCACCCTCCCTATCCCACCCCTCTAGGTGGTCACAAAGCACTGAGCTGATCTCCCTGTGCTGTGCAGCTGCTTCCCACTAGAAAAAAAAAAAAAAAAGGTCCACACATGTTTTAACTATAACTTCTGAATTTCTAAACAGTGGTTTTGCTCAGCCAACACATAATTGACTCATACGGTCTCACTTCAATGAACACATGATTATCCCTCACAAAAGAAGACTAAACAGAGCCCAGATTCATGCGTTGGCTAATTGTTTGTTCTGGCCCTTTGGTCTTTGGCCATAATAATTGCTAGCTTTCAAAGGACTAGAGAAATAGTTGGCTGCAGTATAAAAGTAAACTCTTTTAAGGTCTTTAATAATAGTATTTATTTGTGATAAATAATCTATTTAGCAAATAGATTTACTCTTGAATAAGATCTATGTCTTGTATTGATGGTTTCAAACTGCAAGTCATTGCCTCTTGCGAGAAATCCCGGGACACAGGAATGAGGGATTCTCA